GCGGTTTGAACCCACCAGCTGCGCCATGGAGAGAGTGGGGAAATCTCCTCCCGTGTGATTTACTGCCTCTAAAAATTCACTGGAGAACCAGCTATGAGTCAGTTACAAGGCGATGGCTCACAACAACAGCAGTAACAACAACCTGGGTATCAATGCATGTCATTTCTGACAAATGTTGACAACGGACCTCCAGAAACAGATGTGACTGAGGAAGCAACTTTACTAATAGTTTTACTAATAGGTTATTACAAGACTCTACCCCATGAATGCAGGTACCATTAAGCAATCAGGCCATTCCACTTACGTGTGATCTCTCAGTTCCTACCAAAACTCTGCTTCCAGGGACTTTTTGACTCTGCTGTCTTACAGTTATAAATTCTGTAACTTTTTGTTTTTGTTTCAATGACTCAAAAATACATCCTTCTTCACTGCAGGGCAGAAATTTTGTTGACTTTCCCCCCTCTTTCACAGCCTCTTTCTCTCTCTCTCATAGTTTTTTATTGTGATTTTAACAAATGTTTACCGAAAGCTTGGATTTCCATTCATTCACTGTTGCTTATTTTCCTCTCTACCCCCAGTTTGTTTTTCTCTTTTAAAAAAATTCATTCATTGTTCCACAATTTCCTCCCTTGTGACCCTGGAGGACAATATGTTGAGTGAAATATCTCAGTCACAAAAGGACACATACTGCATAATGCCACTGCTATAAAACAGGACTGACATGGGGAAACTAAGAAAAGAGGGGACACTTTGACTCTTTGAACGTGCCTAGACCATCCTTATTCCTCAATCCCTCTTTCGCTTTCCCCTATGCAGACTCTCATGTTGTTGATGGTTATTTACACAGGTGTCCAGCATGGCTACAGCTTAGTAAGGAAGGGGAGGATGATATGAGGGAATTCTGGAGAGTGAGTGGTATTCAGAGCACACGTGGTGTGGGGTTTTATTAAAAACGCAACAGACAGCGGAGCAGAGCTAAAGCCCCTCGCTGAAATGAAGTGCCTGCCCTCAAAGCTTACATGGGAGCAAACTGAACTTATATAGAAAATACAAACAGCAACAGCCAGCTTTAAGAGTGTGGGCAAGATAACATTGCCATTTTACAAAGGGTTCTCTAGACACAGGTAGAAAGCAGCAAGAATATATATATAGTAACAAGCCTTTTAAAGTTGGATGAATAATCGCCCCATTAGCATCCATGTCCCCAGCTTTTGATGTTAGAGGGCATTATGATTCACAAGTTGTTCAGCTACGTAGTTATGTGGCCAAGCCAAAGGCTGGTGGTTCGAATCCACCTGCTGCTCCTCAGGAGAAAGATGAGCAATCACCTCCCGGGTGATGTACAGCCTTTGAAAACCCACTGGAGGTCACCTCGGAGTCAGTTCCTATCTGATGGCAATAAGAGAGCAAGTCTATAGAGTGAGACTTCTTGGAATGTGCTTAGGAATAAATGAAACTCCAAGCTCTTACATGTTGTTATGTGTCATCAAATCCCCTCCGACACATAGCGCCCTTGTGTACACAGCTCTGAACTCTGCTCTCTCCTGAACCAATCTTATCATCTCTGACACACCTACCTCCATTACCCCAGTCACTGAATCAATCCACCTCATCCAGGGTCTTACTCTCCTGCGCTGTCCCTCCACTCTCCCAAGCATGATGTCCTTCTCCAAAGACTGGCCCCTCCTTGCGACATGTCCAAAGTATGTAGAAAACATAAACACTTAGATTTCTTCTGGTCTAAATAGAACTGTTTAACATCAGTCTTTGGATGGTACAAATATTTAAGCGCTCAAATTCATGTTACACCACAAACCAATCAGACAAGGGTCTGCCTCCAGATAGCCTGCCCTCAACTATCTTAGCTCACCAAACACCAATCAAAATACACTGTAATGTTCCTGGGAGAGACTGGTCCTTGGAGAAGGACATCATGCTCGGAAGGGTGGGAACACAGCGCTGAAGAGGAAGACCCCGGATAAGATCGATTGATGCAATCACTAAGGCAACGGGGGTAGGTGTGTTGAAATTATTGAGATTGGCTCAGGACAGGGAAGGGTTAGGAGCTGTTGTACCTAGGTTGTTATCTTTCTCTTTTATGGTAGCTGGTGAATTTGAACCAGTAACCTTTTGGTGAGGGAGCTCTGGTAAGCCTAATGGCAAGAAGCTGTGCTGCAATCCCGAAGGCATGTGATTCGAGGCCACCAGCTGCTCTGTGGAAGAAGGATGGGCAGTCTCCTCCCGTGCGGCTAACTGCCTCTGAAAACCTGTCAGAGGGTCAGCTATGAGTTGATTCTGACTCTGTGGTGCACAACAACAACCACCACCACCACCATTTAGTGAGCAGCCTGATTCCTTATACACGACATCACCAAGGCTCCTTGAAAGTGAGTCTTTGTCAAAGTTTTAACAGTCTTAACCCAAAGGATCAAAGCATGAATCTGACAGTAGTCTCCTGGCACCACCCACTAAAGGCTAATTTACTAGGGCGATATTGGTCAAGAGCATCAAGGCCGTGAAAGGAGGGAGGGAACACTGCAGAAAGATGGCTAAGAAATGGAGTAAGTTACATATATGAGGTTCTCGCGGAAACGTTTGCGAAGGTTGTCCACAAAGGCAGTTTCGCTGGTATACGCGTCCAACAGCACAAAATCCTGCACGCCGACCTTGTCCCGGGCGGTGAGGGCGCCTTCCATGTGTAGGCGAATGTGCTTCCTCCTCACCTCTTCTCTCTAGGGAGAGAGAACAATTCATTTGATACTTCCCAGTGCACAGCTAATATGGAAATGGAAAGGTACTAGACGCCAGGGATAAAAGAGACCCAAGACTAAAATATTCTCAATGCTGCGTAACTCATAAAATGCTATACAACATAGATGAGTCTTGAAAACATTATACTGAGTGAAATATCTCAGTTACAAAAGGACAAATACTGCCCAAGATTAGTATTTTTTGGTTTTTTTCCCAGCTTTATTTTATTTTATTTTTTAAAAATAATTTTAATGAACAGAGAATTTGAGATCAGTGTTTTAACAACAGGATGGATATGGGGGTGGGAGGAGAGCAGGAAAAAAATGGATAGATGATGAACACTGCACTGGAATAAATGAAAGGAAGGACAATCTGAAAAGAATGGGTGATTAGACGTTATGTGTACAACAATTAACTCCCTGGTACAGAAGAAGCAAGACAAAGTGAATTGGGGGAGGGGAAGGGAGAAGAAATGTATCAGTGAATGGAAAGGAAAACTTCCACTAAAATAATAATTACAAAAATATGCCACTCTCATTAAGAGTTCAAAACCCCCGCTAAGAATACAGGACAATAAGAACAACAATAGCAGCAATAACAATAGGAATAACAATAGTTTCTAAGAATTGAAAATGACTGTGTTCAAGATACCTGTGGTATTGACAAAGAGTATTGAATTCATTACAATCTGCAAATAAAAACACCCAAACACGTTTAAGACGGTGTGCACCGAGGGTGCTCTCCAGAGGCAAGGATGATAAAACTTCCTCTCATGCACTTCGCATATGTTCTCAGGAAGGGCTGGTCCTTGGAGGGAGGCATCATGCTGGGAAAGGCAGAGGTTCGGTGACAGAGAGGAGGAGCCTCAATGAGAAGGTCCGATCCCCGATCCCCGTGACCGCCACAGTGGGGGTGCGGGAGCTTGTGAGGGTGGTGCAGAACAGGGTTCAGAGCGGGTGTTCATAGGGCTGTGGTTAAAGGCCCCAGTGGCATCCACTTCCTAAACAACATGCCTCCAGAGACTCTATGAATTTGGATAAATGTTGATAGTTGTAGAGGGCGCTAGGCCTTTTGTTCATAGGGTCCTTGAGTCGTGCTCGACTAGAAGGCAGTCAAAAATGACCACAACAACAGATATTTGGTATGCATTATCTTATTTAATCTTTTAAAATTGTTGTTGTTGTTAGGTGTTGTCGTGTTGAGCAAGACTCATAATGACCCTATGAACAAAAGGTCTGACGCTGTGCTATTCTACACCATTCTCATGTTTCCTGACACACGAGGGCCCACTGCAGCAGTCATCGTATCACTCCACCTCGTTGACCCTCCACCCTTCCCAGCATCATGTCCCTCTCCAAGGAATAGTCCCTCCTAGCAACATGCCCAAAGTATGTGAGGTGAAGCCTCATCATTCTTGCCTCCAGAGAACACTTCAGCTGAACCCTCTCCAAGACATATCTATTTATTTTCTTGGCTGTCCATGGAATGTGCAGTGCTTTTCTCCAACACCACAGCTCAAAGGCATCAATTCTTTTTCTGTCATCCTTATTCATTGTCCAGGTATCAGACACATAGCTAGTAATCGGAAAGACCATGGCCTGGGTTAGATGCACCTTAATCTTCAAACTGACATCACTACTCCTCAATACTTTGGGAAAGTCCCAAACTGCAGATTTTCCCCAGTGCAATACTTCTCCTTATTTCCTAACTGCTGGTACCAAAGGTGTTAACTGTGGATCCAAGCAAGATGAAGCTGTTGACAGTTTTAATCTCCTCTCCATCCATCATAGCGCTGCCTATTGGTCCTGTGGTAAGAATCTTCATTTTTCTGACATTGAGATGCAATCATTCCTAAGGCTGCATTCCTTGATCTTCTGCAACAAGTGTTTCAAGCCCTCTTCACTTTCAGCAAGTAAGGTTGTGATATCTG